AGGAAGATATCAGAGCACATTTACAGAAAAAAAAAAAGTGGCAGAGCATTTCAAACTCTCTTCCCTATTGCTTTCAAGAGAGGAAATCAAAGGGAAATGGCATGCTTTGTTCCATGGGGGGGCAGCGCTAAAGGTGAGCGGCAAACCCAGCAGAACCACTCGTTTGAATCATCTGCCAAGTCAACTTTGAAGTGGTTTGGAAAATCTCAGAGGAGGGGCAAAGATCTGAGTTCAGCTCTTTTGCTGCAACTTCACAGCATTTAAGGATGTGGGGGGTAAAAGTTTGCCCTTCCCCCTCCAGAAAAATAGTTTCTGTGTTCAGAGCGAGCCCGAAGCCAGGCCACGCAGGGAGCAGACGGGATTTGGGGCGGCAGAGCACTGCAGCGGACCGGCAGCTGCCCGAAGCTCAGGCGGGCGCAGGGTCCGTCTCCCTCGCGTCTCCTTGCACGCTGCCTCCCCTGCCCCCTGAGACGCTCCTGCAGGATGCGAGGACCGTCCTCGCGGTGCACGGACAACCGAGCGGCACCCTCGCTCCCAGACAGGAGCCTTACCCTCCTACCTGGGCAGCAATAAGCGCTGGGCTTTAATCCCACCTTCAGGAGAGACTTGGCGTTTTCACAGATCCTTCGACCTTTATTTGCTGAGCATGGCTAATAACCATCAAGTATTCAGCTACCTCTGCTGTGCCCTAAGGTCACGAGGAGGCTACAAATAAGTTCAGACGTGAGCAGCATCTACCTACATGACATACACAGGGACACACAGGCAGTGACAGGTAGCCACGAACGGACACGGTCTCGGGTCCATCAGCCACAGGACCACTAAGTAGCGTCAACACGGCACGAGTGACCGCAGGCTGGATGATGAGGGGATCTATTGCAGACAACACTCTGCAGCTCAAACCGACGCCCTCCCAAAGCTCAGCTAGGCCAACGAGCCCGGAGGCGACCCTGAGTGAAAATACGGGAGCCAGGTTGTTCCCACATCACATCTCACACCCCTCCAGTGCTACCGAGGCTGCTTGGGCATGCAAATACCCTGACACAGTCCTGCCACGCGGACCGCGTGCCTGCGCTTTCACCGTTTATAACTGCAGCTGAAGCAACATTCCCCACAGTAATTTTCTTTTATATGTATATGTATATATATATATGAGGTTGGAGCATCTCTGCCCCTGAGTACTGAGCCACATTTTAGACACCTAGCACACTACTAACGACAGCCCTGATCGCCAAACGCTGCTTCTCCCTCTGTGTCTTCCACAATCGCCGCACGGCACCCGAGGAATTAACCAGAGACTCAGAGGTCACGCTCGAATGAGAGCACCGCGTTGGAAGCAAAGTTATAAAGCTGCCCTATGCTTGAAGGAGCGAGTGAGCCTACACACCCCCTTAGAAACAAGAGCAGCTCCCGTTTCCTGCCTTTCCAAGAAGGCGTCACACGGCACGTTCGCGTGCACGCACGCGCACAGGAAATCCGCAGTCTCCAAAAGCCTCCCTGGGGTTCTTGGAGTTACAGAAGCAGGAGCTAGTCAGACTGGTTTCCATCCCGTCAGCTGGTGTCTGTGCAGATGGGACTGACCTGAGAAGAGCTGGCTGTGAGGAGTCCCGGCGTCCTGAGCCGCTGCGCCTCCAGCTTGTTTCTTACCGCAGTCTCAGCTGTCTTTGCGATGCAGACGCTGGCTCCTGGGACCTTCTGCCTGTTCTCCGGGGGGACCAAGTCATCTTGTTCTCTTCGGCTCCGGCGACATGCTAGAGGGTGACCACAAAAACAGAGATGATTTTAGGAGGGAAGCATGAGATCCTAGTTAAACTAGAGAGGATAAGGATTGAGCACTCCTAGACCTCACTTATCACAGATTCATGGTATTGATTTGATCAAGATCCTTCCCACCCTGGAAAAACACAGCTAGGAAGATTCTCAGGGACTGTAAACGTTGACCCAAAGCACCTAGCATACAAAATGATGGGATTCAGAATCTCAAAGGCCCTAAAAGCAAAATAAGGCCTATTATTCTCTTCTTATACTTAAGGGAAAGGTCTGTGGTTGTTACTGTTTGTATGTAACACATTTCTGGGCTCTGTGTTGGAAATCTAAGACTTCTGTTCCTGGTCCTGCTAGTTTCTTTGCATAGCCCGGGCCACGCATTTCATTTCCATGCTTTCCTCACTCTGTCCATGCTGTGGAAGTCTTTTAAGTGTCCATCAGTAAGCAGTAAACCCTATCACTAGGTTTTCCATCCCTAGAGCAGCATTAACAAGCTCTTTCCACTTTCTTTTTGCTCGGGGTCCCAGCGCCGCTGCCCAGGGCTCCTAGGGGCGGAAAGCCGCGCGCCTCCTCCTCCCCAGCGTTACTCACCGGCTGCACAGACCAGCCATCCTTCCCCGCGGGCACTGAAACTTCGTGGGGAGGAGAAGAGGGCAGCTCTAGTGACTGCACTCGCTGCCTGTGTTCCTCTGCCCTGGCTTTCGGTTGCCTGCCCGCACCCAGCTGGGGCAGAACCGGTTCTGGAGCAGCTTCAGGTGAATCCGTCACCTCACCTGGGACACAGGAACTATCAGCTCTCCCAACCACCCTCTTCACGGCTCTCTGCCAGCTGTGGGTGACCTGTGGAAGCAGTGAAGGGAACGGCCTGTGGTGCCTTCCAGGGACAAGCCTTCCCTTTGGTACTGCACAGGCTGTAGGTAAAGGGGAGGCATTAATTGAGGTGCACACAGATGAGCTGAATTAATTGCTAGGTCTCAGCTGCTGCATATGAATTTATGCTGCACAAGAGCTCAGTTGCAAACAGAAGGGGAAAGCAACACGGTGGTGCTCAGAGCAGGTCAAGTGACTCGCAGTAAATTGTTTCCTAGTAGTTGAATTGTTTGCTACACATCCCAAGGCAAGCACGAGGCTGCAGTTCCAGGCAAGGAGAAGGTTTCCATTTGGGCTCCTTCAAGCCTCATCAAGAGCATCCCCACGCACCCGGGTTCCCAGAGCAGAGCCGTGCGCTGAGGAACCCCGAGCACGCAGCGCTGCAACCCGGCGCACGGCGGGCGCCGCGCCGGCTCCCCGCATCTCCCGCTCCCGCGC